GGGGTAGGTAAGTTTGAGAAACCGGCTCGAGATACACTTTTTGTTATATTCCATGGAATGCTCTTAACATCCCGATAGCAATGAATATCTTAAGTGCTTTGACAAAAAATCCATAAAAAAATGTCATCTGTGGAAGCCGTAGTACTGTAAAAAGTATGACCAATCATTTTAGCCGGCCCGGCTAAAATAACTGGATGGCCTACCTGCCTGTCAGCCTTCCATCAGTGCACAAACTTATCTCGTGCCCTCATTGGTCATGTGCGCGTTCGTGTGTGTTGGAGGAGGGGCTCTATAAGGAAGTGGCAGATTTTCTCCGGTTGTTTATTTTCAAATTCTAGCGATCTTGAGCCGGTTTATCAAACTTACCTACCTACCTTTAAATGTGCAATAAAAATATAAATAAAAACAATATTTCTATAAACATAAGTAAAATGTTCTATAGAAAAATCTAATGTTTATATAAACATGAAATAAAAAATTGCAACAAAAAGATAAATAGATAAGGATATTTATATAAATATAAGTAAAATGTTTTTTGAAATATATATATATAAATATTTCCAAAAACATTTTACTGTTATATTTATAATATAAACGTAATGTAAAAATGTGCAATAAAGATAAATAAAAAAGATATTTATATAAACATCAGAACAATTTTCTTTAAAATCATATAATATAATATTTATATAAACATAAGAAGTTAAATAAAAAATGTGCACGTTGTACTAAAATATGTTACAAGTATAAAAAAATGTACTTCCATATTTGCTAATATTAAGGCAGTGCATTTATTATAAACCCTTCAGGGGCTGTTTCCCAAGCTGCTTCTTCATTCAGCCAGACACTCTGTAAACAGGATATAGAGATCATTGTGTGTTTTCGGTAATACATACAAGTTATCTGTCCTAATTGCACAGACAGACATTTCACCTCAGAGGGAAGTGTGATGCAGAGGAGGGGGGGGGGGGCAGGAAAAGGCAAACGGCGAGATCACACAGAGGCTCTGCGCTGTGTGTGTGACTGCTGCTCTTTTCTCCGCTCTCTCCGGGTAACACACACACACACACTGCATCATGTTGCTACTTAAACATCCTCCTCTCCCTGTCTCACCCGCTGTCCTCCCCTTCACCTCCACTATGACCTGCTCTAGGATTCTCACCCTTCTTCCGCTTTACCCTTCCACTTCCCTCTCCTGTCTTTTTACAAGTTCCTCCCTCAGCTTCTCACTGTCTTGCACTTCTAGCCTCCCTCTCTCCCTCTGCTGCTCCCTCCCTTCCCTTCTCAGTTTGACTTTAGTAAGACCTTTTGAAACAAGTGTTGCATTCGAATAGTATTGTTTGCTTAGGAAAGATTCTAACGGAGTGAAATGACCCGGAAATACCTTAAAGCAGCCATGATAAAAGCTGTTTGATTTCTCTAGATGATGGAAAGCAGCTTCAATCTTTTGAAGGATACAAAGGACTCTCCTTCATGAAAGAAAAGGAGGTAATGCCTTCCCAAAATGACTGTGACCCCAACATTTAAAGTGACGCTGCAAAGGGTGGTTCCACATTATCTTATTTTGTGTTGGTACTTCCGCTTACATTTCCTAGCGTCGCCAGCTTTATCAACCTTTACATGTCAAAGAAACTGCTCACAAGCTTTTGAATTAAATGTACTTAAGTAATTACACTTTTTAATGCGAGAAACTAACCATTTCGAGACTAAAGATGTGATATGGAATTACGGCAATGTATGGATTGTGAGAAGTTGCTAACTGTTTGAGAGCAGCCGGTCAGCTAAAAAATGCACTCAACAATGTTTTTATAATTACTCTCACGCCAGAATGGTAGACACAGGTCCGCACTGCAAATGTATTCATAGGATATAAAATATGAATTCAAATTTTTATTATGAGAGCCAGCAATATGGCCATGGCCGTAGCCAGGGGTTAAATTGGGCCGGGGCTGTCCGGGGCTCAGCCCCAGCCCATAGGACGATGCTCTGACGTCATCACCCTCGCACATTTGTCATATGTTTACAAAAAACGATATATATATATGTTCAAACTTTTTTTTTAATATAGACTATATTTAGGGTCGATATGTGTTGACTTTACTTTAAAATAGCAGATCTCTGTGACCGGATATAGTTTTTCGGCTTAGTGAACGTGTGTCTGCTCCGATCAGGAGCTGCAGCACCGCCCGGACTCCGCGGCTCCTCCTTGCAGAGAGTCTGCAGCAGTGTGTGTGTGTGTGTGTGTGTAGAAGGAAAGTTAGTGCCGCCAAACGACCCGACCGGTCCTGTAACACGGAGCCCGTTTCCTAAACCATGCTAAATGTATGTGTGTGTGCATAAAGCTGAGTTATGATCGGTCATAATTAAATAGTTTACAGTGAGATTTACTCACATACTTTTGGCCATACTCGTGCAGCCCTACAAATGAACTGAGATTACCACACAAATGTTCTTTAGCAAGTGTGCAGAGCAATGTTGATATAAAATATAAATTTGAAGGTTGGATATTTGTAAAAAATATGTTAATAATTTAAGATGTAATTTATTTATTTGTAGTACTCTCTATTTTTATTGTGTCATTTGGTGGCATCAATGTGGGCATTTGATACAGATAATGGAGCAGATACTTTAGGGCCTCATATACAGTATAGCCCTTAAGGTCAAATAATCAGACACCCTAACCCTAACCCCCCCCGCACCTTCAAACAGAGCCCCCCCACATATCAAATCCCAATTTAACCCCTGGCCGTAGCTAGATAGATAGCTTGTTGGAATGGTAGCTAACATAAGCTAGCTAATTAGTCATATAGCCAACTTGAATTAATATGTTAGGTAAATAGCTAACGCAAGCTTGCTAGCTTGTTTGATATATAGATATCTAACATTCACTAGCCAGCATGTTAAATAGATAGCTACAGTCTCTTGTCAGATAGCTTACGTTCGCTAGTTAGCTAACACTTGCTAGCTAAATAGAAAACTGACAGTTTAATTACATCAAGCTCTAAGTTTACTTGGTATAAAACATTTCATCACTTTGGACCTTTGTCTACCCTTCTGGCAGTGAAAGTTATTCAGAATCAGAAACGGGTTTATTGCCAGGTAGGTTGACACGTACGAGGAATTTGACTTGATGTCATGGTGCATACATAAAATATAAAACAAAAAATCTAAAAAAGGTACACAGATAGCGAACTATATTAAGAACACTGTAAAAAAATATATAGATAGATAGCAATAAAATAAAGCAGTAATTTACAGCGAAATAGAATGCAGTGAATTATAGAATATAAAATATGAAATATGTGCAGTAAGCAGTATTTGAACATTGTGTGCATTAATGTAATGCGTATAGAGTCTGGGTTGTGGCTGAGGTAAAGTGTCAGTGGGGGGGCCGGGCCTTGTTTAAGAGGCCGGTAGCGGAGGGGAAGAAACTGTTCAGGTGGAGAGAGGTTTTGGTCCTGATGGAGCACAGCTTCCTGCCAGAGGGGAGGGGGGTGAACAGTTTGTGTCCAGGGTGGGAGGGGTCGGCCACTATCTTCTTATAAAAAGTCGACCAGAGCTACAAAGTTTAATAGCATATTTGAGTAATAATAGGTTTATTTCACTTTCTTGCTCTCTTTTCCACTCATTCCCCAGTCTCTCCTCTACCCTTCCTCCTTTCTGTTTGATTCCGCCAGCGCAGTCTGTCCCTCCACTTTAAAGGAGCCATATTGTTGTTATTATCATTGTCTCTAACTGGATCAGTTACCATTAGACCTGAATCTTTCTCTTCTGAGGCCCATAGAGCGCCTCTCTAACCCAATAGAAAACCCATGGGAGCTATTTCAGAGGGTCGACCATTCACAACGCACCCCCCCCCCCCCCCCACCACACACACACACACACACACACACACACACACACACACACACACACACACACACACACACACACACACAGATTTCATTCTGAAGATTCATTGGCCTAATCCCATCACAAACACGGACACATGCACTTACATACACACCGTGCCTGTTCACAAACCACTCTTATAAAACACACACACACTCTCATTGCAAATCTTCAGTTATTGGAGCAAATGGTAATGTTATTGGGAGATGATGGCCCTGAGTTGTGAGTGTGTGTTTGTGTGTGTGTCCGAGAGACTGCATATGGCTGTCATTATGGCTGGATGAATGAGTAGGACTAAGGACGAGAGGGTAAATGTCATTCTATCAATGAGGTTATCTCTAATAGATGGACAGTTGAAGTCCTGGTTTCCATTTACTCTGCAGAATCCCTGCGCCTCTCTCTTTGAATTCGATGCTGAGAGGACTTTTTTTTCTTTCTCTTTTTTCATTTTTCTTTTTTATTTGGACCGCCGCATTCTCCGAAGATTCACATAGAAAACGCCATTAAGGCGCTTATTAATGGTATTTCTTTATTTTGTTTTCATTGTTTACCTTTTCTTCAGTTCTTTATTTTACATCGTCGAATCTCTTATTTTATTTTATATTTTTTGCTCATGATTTAGTTCAAATTTATTTGAGATATTTATTTATTTATAGATCAAGTAACCTTTCAACACACACTATGGTTTCTCCAGCAAACTTTTATTGCGTTTGCTTATATTTGATAGTAACAAGGATTCAGCTTTATAAAATAAAGTCTATATATAACCCATAATCCTTTCCAAAAATATTTGATATAATGTTTTTGTATTCATTTTTTTATTGAATAGATTGATTAATGATAAATGAAGCTAGCAGACTGTTGCTAAGGAGGACACTCTGACTAAGGACTATGTGCTGTCATATCCATCCGCAGAAAAAGGTCCAGTCAATTTTATCTCAACAATGGCCAAAAAACGAGTTTTCTTCCATCAGAAAACACCATGGAATTCTTTTTAATGTTTTTTTCGAGGTTTGATAACTGTTTCCTACCAGATTTGATATTTTTGCTCCTTCCATGTTTTGTTGGCGTCTGTCTCTTTGTTGCTTGACCTTGACCTTTGACCTCAGCTATGAGGAGCGAGCCCGATACCTGGAGACCATCGTGCAGCACCACCAGGAGCCGACCACCTTCGAAGATTACGCAGCTCGAGTGTACAGCCCGGCTCCCTGCACTCACCTGCCCTCTGACTCAGGTAAAACACAAATATGATACCGCTCAAACAGTATCACCTGTCAATCAAAACCTTGGGGCTAGGCTTTCACATTCATTGTCGAGGACGTAAATAAAAAATATGAAGACATTAGTATAGTCAAACTAAACATAAGTATTTAGGCTTAATACTTGTGTTAATTTGTGCTGACTGTCATTTCTTATCCGTATGTTTTGGATTTATTGTGTCCTTTATTTGCTTCCGTACACACACACACACACACACACACACACACACACACACACACACACACACACACACACACACACACACACACACACACACAGTGTGTTATATTCCACTGAATGACTCTCATATGTATCCTGTTAACTTTATTAGACACAGACTGATCATTTTTGTCTGTAACGTGTCCGGTTCAGTCGTATTAAAAATAGTGTGCTTTCCCTTTGACTCGCACATAATACAATTATTTAACGTGGCGATAATTTACAATAAAGTTAATTCTGCAGCTAAGGAGGTTCATGAAGCATAAAGGAACATGAGGACATAATGCTTTACTCTCTATTCTGGTCAAACAGAATATGTATATATCTAATCCCTGTTGTTTTTATTGTCCAACTGCCCGTGATCTGACAAATATGAATAGTACAATAACAACCTGCTTTGAGGCTGAATAACCATAAACACAACCTAAAATGATGATTGTATTGTGTGGTAGTAAAATCCCACACTTTAGTGGGTTGTCAGTGTGTTTCTCAGCCCCAAATGTCATCTCAGAACACAGGATCAATATGCCAGTCAGATAACAGGATGTTATTTGCCTGATTTCTTGTCTTAAAGGTGGGGTAGGTAATTCACTTCAGAAACACTTTTTGTTATATTCCATGGAATGCTCTTAACATCCCGATAGCAATGAATATATTAAATGCTTTGACAATAAATACATAAAAAAATGTCATCTGTGGAAGCCGTAGTACTGTAAAAAGCACGACCAATCATTTTAGCCGGCCCGGCTAAAATAACTGGATGGCCTACCTGCCTGTCAGCCTTCCATCTGTGCACAAACTTATCTCGTGCCCTCATTGGTCATGTGCGCGTTCGTGTGTGTTGGAGGAGGGGCTCTGTAAGGAAGTCTGAAGGAAGGGGAAGATTTTTTTCGGCTGCGTAGTTTCAAATTCTAGCGAGCTGGTTTCTCCATTCTTACCTACCCTACCTTTAATAGGTGCATAATGACTAAAGTTAATCATTGAAATGATCATTTAAAGACGGCATAATAATCCTGTGCTCTGAATCAAACCTTGCTCAAATTACTACTGCCCCCCCCCCCGACTCATATCTCTCTCTATATATATCTATCTCTATCTATTTATCTCCCTATATTAACTTACAGATGCCCCTCCCTTAACAGCACAGTGATCAAACATTTTTCTCTCTTTCTGTTATTATTATTATTTTTTTTCATTTTTCTTCCTATTTTTTTTCTATTTTATTTTGTGTTTTTCTTTCCTTTTTGTTCCCCCCCCTCCTTTAGATCGTTTTGTCTCACTTGCCTATAGCTAAAAGGTAAGCCTGGTCACATGATTGACTCGCCCCTCTCTGATTGGCTCTCCCTTTTCTCAGCCTAACCTGTGCTTCTCTCTGATTCCTCTGCCACGTTGTGTTTGAAATGTTTTCTCTTCCTGTGTTCTCCACCAGCAGGTCTGCATGTATCTATGGTTACAAACGATTTCAAAGGAAGTGTCTTTTCCATCTCAGCTGTGGGTAGCAGTTTGGTATGACTCATGTGGAGAGATGTATTCGCTTGGTTGTTAGCTCTAAAAACATCAACATTTATTATTGACATTCCAACATTAATTTAAAAAAGAAGACGTAAAAAAAAAAAGGTTCTCGCTTTCTTTTTTTAATGATCCAATATGTCAAATATTCACACTTCTTTTTAGCTCTGTTTTGGTCTCCATCACCTCCTCGGAAATCTGTCTCTTTAGCTACGTCCCCACAAAGAAACAGGGCTGAACCAGAGGGGCTTATGGCATTCCACAATGCGTGATACTTGGATTAGATCAAACATGTGAACAGGTAGCTACTTATACATGTGAAACCCTGTTAATACCAACCTGGACTCAGTCAGGATGAAAATGAGACTTCCTTTTTATAACAACGTGACATTTCTGCTGATTTGCCTGTTTACTAACGCGTGTTCCTGTTTGTTCTGTTAACCTGCACTGAAACCTAACCTCTAACCTGTTGTACGCTCCTCTTCCTGGTTCACTACACACACACACACACACACACACACACACACACACACACACACACACACACACACACACACGCACACACGCTATAGGTATCTCAGTGGTTGGTTTAGGCAGAATGAGTGTATTTAAAGCGACCAGTTTGACCGTGTTGCACAGTGCTTTGTGTGTTTACATCTTTCCATTCTGTCTCTTTACATGTGTGGCCATTTCTTATTCTATGTTTTTATTCATTTTCTTTTTGATTTCTTTCCTTCACTCTCCTAAACTGCTCCCTTTCCCTTTCCTCTTTCATCATTGTTTTCCTTTTTCCTTCTCTGTATTGTCTGTACATGTTTCCCTTTTTCTATGTTTCATTTCCCTTTCCTTCTTTCCTGTATCCTCCATGCTTCCACCTTCTCCTCCCTTTCCTTCTTTCCTGTATCCTCCATGCTTCCACCTTCTCCTCCCTTTCCTTCTTTCCTGTATCCTCCATGCTTCCACCTTCTCCTCCCTTTCCTTCTTTCCTGTATCCTCCATGCTTCCACCTTCTCCTCCCTTTCCTTCTTTCCTGTATCCTCCATGCTTCCACCTTCCTCCTCCCTTTCCTTCTTTCCTGTATCCTCCATGCTTCCACCTTCTCCTCCCTTTCCTTCTTTCCTGTATCCTCCATGCTTCCACCTTCTCCTCCCTTTCCTTCTTTCCTGTATCCTCCATGCTTCCACCTTCTCCTCCCTTTCCTTCTTCCTGTATCCTCCATGCTTCCACCTTCTCCTCCCTTTCCTTCTTTCCTGTATCCTCCGTGCTTCCACCTTCTCCTCCCTTTCCTTCTTCCTGTATCCTCCATGCTTCCACCTTCTCCTGCCCTTTCCTTCTTTCCTGTATCCTCCATGCTTCCACCCTCTCCTCCCCTTTCCTTCTTTCCTGTATCCTCCATGCTTCCACATTTCTCCTCCCTTTCCTTTCTTCCTGTATCCTCCGTGCTTCCACCTTCTCCTCCCTTTCCTTCTTTCCTTTATCCTCCGTGCTTCCACCTTCTCCTCCCTTTCCTTCTTTCCTGTATCCTCCGTGGCTTCACCTTCTCCTCCCTTTCCTTCTTTCCTGTATCCTCCGTGCTTCCACCTTCTCCTCCCTTTCCTTCTTTCCTGTATCCTCCATGCTTCCACCTTCTCCTCCCTTTCCTTCTTTCCTGTATACTCCGTGCTTCCACCTTCTCCTCCCTTTCCTTCTTTCCTGTATCCTCCGTGCTTCCACCTTCTCCTCCCTTTCCTTCTTTCCTGTATCCTCCGTGCTTCCACCTTCTCCTCCCTTTCCTTCTTTCCTGTATCCTCCGTGCTTCCACCTTCTCCTCCCTTTCCTTCTTTCCTGTTATCCTCCGTGCTTCCACTTCTCCTCCCTTTCCTTCTTTCCTGTATCCCTCCGTGCTTCCACCTTCTCCTCCCTTTCTTTCCTGTATCCTCCGTGCTTCCACCTTCTCCTCCCTTCCTTCTTTCCTGTATCCTCCGTGCTTCCACCTTCTCCTCCCTTTCCTTCTTTCCTGTATCCTCCGTGCTTCCACCTTCTCCTCCCTTTCCTTCTTTCCTGTACCCTCCGTGCTTCCACCTTCTCCTCCCTTTCCTTCTTTCCTGTATCCTCCATGCTTCCACCTTCTCCTCCCTTTCCTTCTTTCCTGTATCCTCCATGCTTCCACCTTCTCCTCCCTTTCCTTCTTTCCTGTACCCTCCGTGCTTCCACCTTCTCCTCCCTTTCCTTCTTTCCTGTATCCTCCATGCTTCCACCTTCTCCTCCCTTTCCTTCTTTCCTGTATCGTCCATGCTTCCACCTTCTCGCCTCGCCTTTTACTGGCCCTCCTTTCCTTCTTCCTTTTGTTTCCTCTCCAATCCTTAACTCTTCTCTCCTTTCCTTTTTCTTTCCTCTCCTATCCCTTTTTGCCTTTTATTTCATTTCCTTTACTCTCAAATCCTTACTTCTTGTTTCCTCTCATTTCTTTTCCTACACTTTCTTTCCTCACTTCTCTTTTGTTACTTTCTCCTCTCCTCTCCTCTCCTCTCCTCTCCTCTCCTCTCCTCTCATCCTCCTCCTCCTCCTCCCCTCCTGTAGAGGAGCACAGTGTCATGTGTATGATGGTCCCTAAAGCAGTAGACAGCGTTAACCTGCTCAGGGTGAAGGGGAAGGGTCTGAAGCAGAAGGTGCTCCATGCTAGCTGTGAATGGTATGATTCATGGACGTTTAGATAGAAAACCCTGTAGGTATTCTCCCTCATGTAGGATGTACGTTTTGAAGTATCACCTTTAGACCCAATAGTCACATTTCCTTGTTTTTATAGTTACATTTTAAGGTGTAGTTTGCCAACAGCTCAAGTAGAAATTGCTATTTATTGTTGTCTTTTATTAAAGTATTTACAATCAATGAAAACATAGAGGGTTACAAAACTGGAAATACTAAACAAACAAACAAACAAACAAAATGTACACAGCAAGAAGTACAGAAGATCATATGCTCTGTACAGTGAAATAGATTGTTTTAGTATTGGCAGAGCTGTATATTATATATATTAAATGCTATCGAGTATATTAAAATTTAAATATAGATTTTTATTTTCTTCTTTTCTTTGCACTTTTACACATTGTTATTGCTTACATGGCATACAGAGTCAAATGGAATACAGTTGAAGATACAATTACAAACCACAAAGCAGAAGAAGAGGGGGAAAAATATACAGATAATAAACATACATTTATTTCAGATAATGACAAAAAACACTAATATGTGAAAGTCCATTTGACAGGAAGCCAGTTTAAAGACCTCAGAACAGGAGTGATGTGATCCACTTCCTTAGTGTCAAGGCCCTGACACACCAGGCCGAAATCACCCGTTTTCTTTAGTCGGACAACGAAGCGTGCCCTGTCGCCCAAACTCAATTTGGTGTGTCCCGCACCGTCAGCTGTGACACGCCTTATTTGGCCTTTCATGGCCGACGCACGGTCGATTCAACATGTTGAATCGACCGAGCGTCGGCCACAGGCAGTCGGACAAAGAAATCACTCTGATTGGCTGTTCAGCTAGCGAATCAGTGCATGAGAAGCAAAACGGTTGCTTGAGAATGTCTTCCACAAGCAACACTCCAATGGCTGATAGCTCCAGTACCGCACGAAACATGTTTTCGATGGACGAGAGTGAAAATGGAACGCACACGCTATTTGTTGTTTGTTTAGATCACGCAGTCTGTTCTTCTTCTCTGTCTTCCGGTTGTTGCCTCTTTTGAATGACGAATACACACTACCTACCATGCGCAGTTCGTACGTGCTCGGCTGAAGTCTTTGCGGTGTGTTCCAGTGCGACACATGGCCAAGACGCAGGAGAACACGGCGACGCAACAGTCGGCGTTGGCGAGTTCTCTGGTGATTGCTTGGTGTGTCAGGGTCTTTAGCGAGCAGCAGCGTCCTGAATCAGCTGCAGCTGCCTTTATTATTTTTAAACAAATACACCTTCTGTTTGTCTTGTTTGTCTAGGCTTTCTGTCCTGTGTGTGTCCATCACTCTGTCCTGTGTGTGTCCATCACTCTGTCCTGTGTGTGTCCATCACTCTGTCCTGTCTGTGTGCCTAAGTAGATCATGATTGGACGTGATGTCATTTTCTTATTGCTGTATTATATAGTCTCCTATCTTACTCTCTTATTTGCCTCCTCCCTCTCCTCCTTTATCCCTCCCTCCTCCCCTTCTTCAGGCTCCTGCCTCGAGATTCTTCGGGGAGAAAGTCCGGCTCTTGGGGAGGCCGGGAGCGACTCGGCGTCCCCCATGTCGCCTCGGACTAGCAAGAGCCGCATGTCGATGAAGCTGCGACGCTCCTCCGGATCGGCCAATAAGACTTAAAGCCCTCACTGTAACTTTCTTTTGAAAATGGCTGATTATATCCTCGCAGTTGCTCCAGCATGCTGACCTTTGCCACAGTAGAAACAAGTGCAGTATTAGTTTATAACAATCTGTGCCATTTTAGAAAAGGGTTAGAGCAGAGGAATAAAAGCAGAAGTTGCTATCTGTATATTTGTACTATAGTCAGTCCATGTGTGCGCAGACAGAACCACGAGTTTTGATATAAAATTAAAAAAAGATCAGAACGTGTGCATCTGTAGTGTTGCATGGAGGAAGCAAGATAAAAGTATATTTTTGTTCTCAGCACAGCTTTAGGCTTGAGTGGGTTTCTATTAGTATGAATTGTATATAGAAACTCATTCATTTGCTTACAATGAAAGAAAGATGTTTTGTTGTGGATGCTTTAAAGCCAAAAAGTGAAGAGAATCAGTGTTAAATAGTTGAATTATTTGTCAAAATAGAACACAAGAGGCAGCACTTCCATTTAGTTTTGTTTTGCTTATGCTGTAAAATGTGGACAAGCACTGATGATTTTTGTCTTGAAATGTGTTTGGACCCGAACAAGAACATTGCTGTATTTTATTTGTCACTTTGTCATCTGATGCAATGGAACCACAGCTATTATTTTTGTTCCTATATTCTGTATATCTATATATGTATGGGTATAGATATATATATATAGTAGCTATATGAACATCTAATGGGATGTGTACAGTGGGTGTATATACTGAGAATAGCTGCCAAAGACCTCAGACCAGGTATCTGCTTAAAATGGATAGACACTACAAGATTTCATTTCTTTTTTAGATTTGCAAGGCAATTTAATTTCAGGTCACGGACTCTTCTTTACTTCAATGTTGCCACATTGGGGAAGTGTTAGGCCATCATTGTCCTCGTTTTTCATTGAGTATATAATGTACGGAAGAGGATTAGTGCCACATGTGAAAAAAAAAATTGCGATCGGACCTAAAGGGATTTATTTTCTTTTGTTCTGACTTGAAAATGAAAATATTGAGATTCAATTCAGAATTCTGAGATCAAATTCAGAAACAAAATCTGAATTCTGAGAAAATGTATTGAATTCTATGAAAAATCTGAATTCTGAGAGTACATTTAGAATTCTGAGAAAATGTCAGAATTCTGAGATTAATTTAAGAATTCTTTCAAAAAAGTCAAAACTATATATTAAAAAAAATTACTTTTGGTCCGATCTCAAAACATTTCCCTCATGTGGTTCTAATCCTCTTCTGTGCTTTGTGGCAGGTTTTGTTATTGAAAAGATAACTTCACCACCTTAGTGGTTTAAAGGTGGAAACAGTGTGTACAAAGGAGAGATAGTGTACAGCCAAAGAGGGGGGGAAAGCAAAGATACTTATCATAATTTAGATATTAATTCTTATGTTATTTTTTTTTTTATAACTCCACTCTTATATTGAGACTCATCCCCCTGCTCCATTCTTGACGAAGGGGACCCGTATGTAATCACAATCTATAAAAAGTAACACTACCAGTTATGTTTTTAACATCCTTATTTCAGCACTCCGTCAGTTAGCTCTACTAAAAACCGAATTGTCTAACATTGTTTAAGGTTTTTCTTTAGCTGCTGTTCCTCCATTTATTTTACATGATGGCTTCTTCTGTATTTAAACTCAAGTTTATTTGATGTTACTGTTTTTATTTCAGCCATAGATTCTCTGTAGAAATGAAAGGGATTGTTACACTTTTTGCACCTCTGTGTGTGGTGAATATAACTTTATTCGTGAATATTTGAATTCTGCTGAACTCTGAGTTGGCGCTTTAAATTATTGCTGTTACAATAATAATAATTATTGCTGCGGTTGGAGCACCATTGATTGGTGGTCACTCTGATCTGTTCATGCTGTACCTCTCACTCCATCCTGATTGGACACGCTGAGCCTCACACTCCCTTTGGATTAAACATACCTGTGCTTGATTATGAGTTATGGTGCTGCTTTCAAAATCCCATGGAGAAGATGGGACATTTCCAATTAGTTTTACAGATTGTAAATAATACGGAGGATTATAGTGTTTTATAATGACCTCGAAATGATTTGCTTACTCTAAACGTAATTAGCAGCAACCAAAATGTATTAAAACAAATTATTAACCTTTCATCATTACAAACTATTCATAGAAACTTTCCTGGACTGTTTATCTGGAGGATTTTGACTCTGAAAGTCTACAGATAAAGGATTAAGGCCACATGTGAAAATGTATTTCTGAGAAGAATTGAAGATTTAAAAAAACAAACACATTTGTACTTTTTGGAATTGTGAATAATCTCAGAATTAAAAAAATGTTTCAACGCGACCCTAAACCAAACTTTGCTTGTCTAAATAAGGGGTACAAAATTCAGATTAAATTTTTTTCCTTTATATATATAACATTCGGAAAGCTCTGTGGCCTGTTGTCCAGAGTGCATGTGCACTGACTGTACATACTGCATGACACCAGCTCAGCACTTCCTGCATGTGTTGATCATGTAACAGCTGTATTACGCTCAAACACACACACACACACTCACTCCATGTCACACCTGTACTATGTAAACCTGTAACGTCTCTTTTGGACACAGACAGAGAGCGTGGATGTGCGATGATGGGATTTGACAATAAATGATTCGTACCACTTGCCTGCCAGACCCATTCATTTATCGTGTGTGTATACAGCTTCAAAAGTATATGAATCAGTCCATTGATCATACTGTCTCACCATTTATTGACAATCATTTCAATTAAAATGCACATGAAACATGTCAAAATAGTAAAAGCTTCATAGAATCACAAATACACTTTAGCATCATGAAGGAAATATGTCAACAGTTATATATAATCAATAAAGATGAAATACTTTTTTTTTAAACTATTAGCATTAAATGTTCCTTTTTTGTATGAAAATATTTTTTAGCTGAGAAACGTACTGGCACATTTACTATAAAAGGCATATTACAGTCAATCTTCTTTTGTATTGTTCACTGTACATGAAATAGTCTTTGTAACAGAGTTAGGACATTGATTCTGTCTCCAGTTATAACGCAGCTTCAATATAATCTGATTACTTTGCCACAGGAATGTGTTGGGATGTCTGCCACGTTAGCCTGTCTATCTGCTTCAGTATATTCCATGTAAAATGACCCCGTCTTGCTCGAATTAGTTATAATCAAAATGGCCTTTTCTGTCAAACTTCCCTCTGTCCCCACTCTCCAGTCTAACAGCTGCTTCGGGCATGTCGGAGAAGCTGGAGAGATGGCTTCCTCTGTGCCAATACGGATAAGAAACAATATTGTCTATGAGAATTATTATAGAGACAATTATTGATATTTCATGTATAGCTCACTGTAAATTGCATCAGTAATAATAATCTTGCTGTTAGTTTATTTCATTATTTTAGATCTGCCACCTGAATGATAATGTCCCATTGTTAAAGTTGTATTTATTATTTTCATATTACAATACTGCTTGTAGTATAGACTGATCATCCTGTTGAAGATTACATTAGGTGTTTTTTAGTACATGACATCAGTGGTTGTGGAACATTTTTCCAAGTTTCTGTAGATCTTTACTTAGTTTCAGCACCATGGGCAGTGTCAGTTGAGCTGAGAGCATCGCGTATAGTTGTGTAGTTTCAGCAACAAAGTTTTGTTTCCGTTTGCTTTTGAATGGGTTCATTATTCTAGTATCACTATATTCTAAATGGGCCTTTTTGAAACAAAGTCAAGATGATTACTGACCTTTAAACAGAAACAGTGACTCCACTTCCTGTCGCACACTGATACACATTTTGCTTTTTGACCACAACAAAAATAAACTTTGCTTTACAATAAGCTTAAATTAATCATTTCTTTAATGTGAATGGATATAACTAAAAGTCAAATTCCATAGAGTCTCCCTTATGACTATCAATGAAGGAATGTTTTCACCAAATCAGAGTCTTTTACAGCGTATTATGGTCGCACGGTCATCTGCAGCAGCATCACCTGCCGGTTCTCGGTCGGGTGAGACTTATTGATGTGTCTCGCGAGACCCGGGGAGCTGAAGAAAGTTGACGGACATTGCTTGCACGTGAAGATCTGCTGCTGCTCGCTCTCTCCAGTGCCGCTCTCGTCTCCTTGCGCGTGGAATACTTCATGTCTGAGTCCTCCTCCCAAAGTTCCCGCCAGTAACTCATCCCTCATCGCGTGCCACATACGGTGCTTGTCCCTGATTTCACCCGACGGGAAGCGCGCGCCGCACAGGTGACACAGAAACACCTGGCCGCTGGTCTCGCGCGCCTGGTTATAAGGTGGTGGAGGCGGTGACGCTCGTGCTGTCATCTCGTGCGCGGCAAGGTGTTTCTTCAGGTAAGCTTGTCTGCGGAATTTCTTCCCGCAATACCTGCAGTCGTAAACCTCCTCTTCCGTTAGGGACTGCACGAACGGTAAAGCGGGAAGCGGGAAGGACGGCCGCTGCTGCTGCGACAGGTCCACGCTCTCTTCCGGATTACCGTTCAATAGAAACAGGCTCGAGGGTGGGCTGTCTGCCGCTCTCACCTCCAAACAACTTTCCACCGGGTTCCGGTAATGTAGAGAGTGCTCATAGTGAGGAGGAGCAAGACTGTCGGTGTCGGGGCTGTTTCGGGACCGGCCATGGAGCATCAACAGGGAGGGCTCGCGCCTCATGCGGGAGCTGTCCGGTGCTCCGTGGTGCTGGTTAATGCGCAGCAGCTCGTTCTCTTTGCCCTCCATGTCAACCGGCTGCCGCTCGTGCTGAATGAGCCCTCGTGTCTCCTTTAACGGCTGACTCTTGTTTGTTTGAGTCTCTCCTCCCTGGTTGTTCACCGGGCGAGGTTTGTGCCAGCGGCGGTGGGACGCCAGGTTTGCGGGGCAGCTGAAGACTTTGTCGCACTCCGGACACCGGTACTCCACGCGCACTATGCGGGAGCACTTGTGCTGCGCGAGGGAGAAGGGGTCGAGGTACTCCTCTTTACAGAGCTGGCAGATGAACTCTCCAAGCGGCTTGTTCCCGCTGAGAGCAGACTTCTCGCGCTGTCTCCTCAGCTCGGGGCTCTCCTTTTTGATCCGCAGACCCAAAACCGGCGAGGTCGTGACCTCATCCTCGAAGTTTAGTTTCCGGTTGACTTTTGGTTTCTTTGGCGGGTTTGACTGTTTGTTGTGTCTGTTGTTGTTCAAGCGTTGGTCCTGTTCGAGGAAGGCGCGTTTCCTCGCTGCTTGGTGCTGGTTCATCAGTGTCAGGGGCGGGAACAGGTGCCCCATACTCGGGTCATATTTGTCGTGGTGACCGTAGGACGGTGCTTGGCGGCTGCTGCTCGCCAGGAGTCTCTCGATAGAAGCGGAGGTCGGAGTGGAGCTCACCAGGAACGGCAGCTCCGGTAACTCCAACACCGGGGGTGATGTGAGGCATTTACCGGTTAAAAACGGCTGCTTCTCTCCTTCCTCGTGTTGTTCCAGCAGCCTCGTGCCGACCGGTTTAACGGGGCTGCAAGACGTTATTGTCAATTCGCGTGGGGGTATAGGAGGAGGCGGGAAGAAGCAGGAGAAATCTCTTTCGGGAGTCAGAACGTCCACCTCGCTCACCTGCTCCTCGGTCTCGGGTAACTGCGCGCTGCGGTCGGCTTCTGCCTCCAGCGCCGACTCCACCTGCGGGCTCCACGCCTCTCCTACACCGGCGGAGTCCTCGCGGGATACCGGGAACCGTCCGTCTGTCCGTTCAAATAGGACACCGTTCAACACGTCGGTCTGGTTCACTGACTCCGGTTCGATCCCTTTTGAGTTATTGTTGTTCCTGTCACCGTATGTTCCAGGTTGGTTATTGCTGGTATTTCGTGACCGGTATGACCCCGAACATCGCCGGGTTCTCTTCACCAAAAATCCTCGAGGCATGATGACGATGATGCTCCACCAAGCGCGAGAGAACAACAACTCTTGTCTCGAGCTCACTTTCAAGTACAGCTTTGAAGTGTCAGAGAGAGAGGGAGAGAGAGGGGGGCAGGTGTGACGAGAGAGAGAGAATCCCTGCCCTGGTGAGGAACACTACACACTTAGATATATTTTGTACAAGAAAAGTCCAACAAAATATAAAGGCTAATTAGAGTTAGCCTCTTCAATTTTGGAAACTAATAGGCATATTGGGGACGAAGTGGAACGACCATTGACTAAAAGAAAAATATTTAGTCACTGCGATGAATTTCAGAAGGAGATTCGGTTCAGTTTTACAAAATGTACTTTATATTTTCCTATCTTTTATAAACACAACTAAGAAGACTCTTTAAATGCTTAATCTAAAATGATGAAGTCCAATTAGGCTTTCCTGGTATAATTGTGAGCTATCAACCCACGTGCATCAAGATAAACGTATCAATGTTTTTCTTTATTTTTAATAATAATTTAATTGGATATCGTAAAATACACCGTAGACATTTTTTCCCCAAAATATACAGGCTTATTAGTAGGCTAATTGGAGTATTACTTTTTCAAACGAATGTTAAAGTGAATATTTAAAGCATCGAGCAATGACTGAAAGCGTTATTTAACAACTGCGAGGAACTTCAGCGGAGATTCGGTTCAGTTTTACTCCAAAAATAACTTCATAAACGATGTCATTCTATTTTAATAAGAACAACTAAGAAAACACGTGCCTTCACTTTAAATTCTTAAATGATGACATCTAATGAGGCTTTCAGCCTGTGTTTCGAGCTATCAACCAACATACATGAACATGAAGTTATGCGTATCAATGTTATTTTTTTATTACGATGTTTCATACCATGTGATACACAGCTAGTTGAGTCAACTGTTTATTTTTTAAGCAGAACTAATTTTATATTTTATCTGACCATTCTAATCTCGTAATTCCGTCAGGATGTGGCTCACGTGGTTCTTGAAATAAAAATCCAGCTGCAATATATTGTATTAATATTGTTGACATTTTTGAGGACTGCAGTTTTTACTCTAATAATTTATATAAGGAAAAGTTGGGTTCACATTTCATTCCAGTGTGTTTTATCTGCCATTTCTCCTGCTGAATTCCCACGGTGATGATGAGCGTCTGTCAGTGATATTTCCCCCTCGTATTTCCTCAAAACAATGCCCTTTTTACCTTTCACCGATATGTTTGTATTTAAGAGTAGATCAGATGTGTGTGTTGGAGTCCGTGCAGTGAAACAGCATCCGTGGGGATTCAGATAGCCACACATCATATCTTTTTAAGAACACTTGACCGATCCCTGCTGAAGTGTCTGATTATCTGCGTCTTTGTTGGCGGTGGGAATACCTCGGGCATAGCTTTCCCTGTGTGTGTGTGTGTGTGTGTGTGTGTGTGTGTGTGTGTGTGTGTGTGTGTGTGTGTGTGTGTGTGTGTGTGTGTGTGTGTATGAGGTGTATCTGCTCTGGCTGATAAGAGATCGGAGAGAGATTCATCTATCCATCCATCCTCTCCCCCCGGGCTTGGCCGGCCCCTCTGCGGGGACAGGCGCTCTCTAGCTCGGCCAGTGGGCTCCGGCCAGCCGGCGTCGCTCCCTGGAAATCAATCAAGGGGGCTGAGCGTGAGAACGGGCTTCAGGGTCGGGCTGTTGGCTGGGCGAGGGGCCGCCTGGGGAATAGAAACGAGAGGGGCGGCGGAGGGTCCAACACTACAAAACTAATTAAGCCCCAAGCCTCGTGGATCCTTAGTTTGGTTGGTTTTCACTGTAACCGACAGCTGCTGATGTCTAGACTATGAGCAACTGACCCAGGTTCAGCCTGTATTGACCTGACTGAGTGGGACAGTATTATGGCCAGGGTGGGATTTTCACGGCGGCCATGACGGCCATGGCCGTCGTAGCCCCTCGGTCTGGCCGATATGCCCCACAAATAATTGTAAGTCCTACGGCTACCATGGCCTTTGGGCCCCTCACACTGTTAAAATCTCGAAGTTGCTTTAAAAGCGTCAGAACAGTGGTTTCTGAACTGCATTATGTTGCGTTCACAACGGACGCGATGCGAATATTCGCATTGCTCTAATCGCTGGAGTTTCACCGCGACTGTTAGCTGTGTTTACTCCTGTCATTCAAACAGGACGCGCTGGAGAGGGGGCGGGGCTTATATCCATGTAAATACTGTGGGTTAGGCTACAAACCACAGACTGTCTGTGTCATGGCGAATACAGTCGCTGGTTTATTTATGTCTGTATAGGCCGTTGTTGTGAGTGTGGACGGTCGGAGCATATACAACGTTAGTTTAGCCGATCTCCATTCAGAAAACACGCATTTTAAAACGTTTTTCGCCTGCCGTCTTGTCTGCAGACATGTTGTCAAAGCATTAATTCATGGTTTTTACTCACCGGTATCAGTATGTTGTTACCAGTGGCGTAACAAGGTTGTGATTGGCCCCGGTGCAAATATTGTTTTGGGCCCCCCCCCCCCCATCGCCCCAAACATAAGCGCACGCTGATGCGCTCACACACGCACGGACATACACTAGGGATGGGAATTTGAAAGCAAATGTATATTCGAATATTCGACCCCCAAAAAACGGTTAACCGGTTAACCAAAATGTACATACAGTGTATCCTATAAAAAAAAAATTGGGTCAAAAAAAAATGTCTAACTTTTTTTCGAAAAATCTTTTTTCAATAACTTTTGGAAATAAATAAATACATGTTCAAATAAGTATAGAAACCAAGTCGAATTTGTCAAATGTATTGAACTGGTGATCACAGTTTGACAGCTATAGGCCTACAGCAGGGCTATTCAATTGGCGGCCCGCGGGCCAAATCCGGCCCCTGGGTGATATTTACTGGCCCTTTGAGAATAATGTTAGAACTACTTTTCTTTTTTTTTGGGCCAGAGTGCCTTTATTCCAGAGAGGGTGTTAAATTGAGAGATAGAGGGGAAGACATTGCCTGAAAACTTCGGCGGGCTCTGGTTTCGAACCCACCTAGCTACTGTAGTGACAAACTGTCATTTATTGCATCTCTGCGTGAACCCTCTCAGCTGGAACGGAGGTTGCGGGTATAGCAAGGTATAGTATGTATATATATAAGTTTAATTTGGCATAGTTTGCACTCTACACCGCACTCACTAACCTGGTCGAAATATTTCTACACATTACTCCTTTTTGACGCCATGTCTGTAGAGTGTAAATAATTACCGGACTATGACTGAACTAGCTAGATCTGATGGATTTGGACATAAACGCGAGTGAAGTACCGGACGCGAGAGAGAGAGATCAGCACCTGCAGCTCTGCCCGCTGTGAGGGACCGGTGAGCGGAGCAAAACACACCTTTAGACGTCACCTAACACATTTAGCTATGGCACTGTCGTATACATTGAATTATTCAATTTGATAATATGTAATCAACTTAGGCATCCCTCCCAAAACAAAAAAAAAATTTGAATACCTGAATAATTATTCGAATACCTGAATAATTTCGAATATTCGATTAATTGTTCCCATCCCTAACATACACAACCACTCAGAAGCGCCACATGTATAGGCTATCAACAACAGCCTGCCCTGGCCTCAGACCACCACAGACTGATAACGGCACAGCGAACTAAGAAGAGGATTAAACCTGTTTCCTTGATGTTTGTCTCTGGGGAATGGGCCGGTAGGCCTACATAGACCGGTTGCTATAATATAGCTTTTGATCTTGGCGTCGGGGGTCTCAATAGCGCCATAGAGTCCCCTATCGGTTGGGGCCCTTGGGGGAACTGTTGAACCACCGCCGGGCACAGCCAAATCCAGACACAGCCACGGCCACGGATACAGCTTCACTTGTGGAGCTAGATGGCAATGATGGTGGTGAGGCAGGTGAGCTATCGTTAGCCTCCGGCTGCCGCTGCACGTGAACATTGCTAACATTAGCGCTCGATTTCGAGGACAATGTATGACAAAAAAAACGGTCTCATTTTGTCAGTTTAGCTGTTACATCTCCTTGTTCTCTCTTGTCCTTTCTCTTTTGAGCGCTGCTCTTGTGCTTTGGTTTGCTGTACATTATAAATGCAAGCTATTACATTTTTTATAATGCTACCGAACTTGCTGCTGCAGCTACAGTACAGTACAGGTTGATTAAACGGTTCGCTCGTCACATGACATGAAAGGGAGCAAGGTCATTGGACAGACAAATTACAAATTAATTCAGGTTGCTTGGTTACTTTGAAGACTGCGTGAACCGGTCAATGCTTTTATTTTATTTTTTTGCATGGGCCCCTTGCCGGCTCTGGGCCCCGGTGCGTTGCACCGGCTGCACCGTCGATAGTTACGCCACTGGTTGTTACTTCGGTATCATTTTGAAACGTGTATTACAATTAAATCACAGTAAAATATGTTCATTTTGTTGTAGTTGTAGCCCCCTTGCCAGCCATTCTCTCACTAGTTTAGCATATTCAGCCCGGTTGTTGGCCCGGAAAGAACCTGGATTTTGGAGAGCCAGAAAAACTGTGAAACAGTACCCGTTAGCCGGAACTACCCCTAGTGGAAACGCAACAAAAAACGGGCCGGGTTTGGCACGGCACGCTTAAACCGTGCTACGCCGCTGCAGTGGAAATGCGCCATAAGTGACTGGAGCCTTTAACCCGCCATTAAAGTATGGAAGCTCATTGGCCTCGGAAAAAATAGATCAGATGTTACGATTGACTACTACAGAAGATGATTAGGGCCATATTAGAAACATTTTTGGGGATGTGACCAAAAGTACAAATTAAAAAAAGAGTTCTGACAACAACGTATTAGATGATGTGTCAAAAAAAGGACTTTAACATGGTGACTTTTCTTTCTTATATCATCATTTTAACTCGCTCTCTAATTATATATCATCATTTTGACCTAAAAGTCACAATTGTGAATTATTTGACATTCATTTTTAACGCATAATTGACTGACACTTGGTCGACGTGTACTTCCACATTTATTTATTCACTTGTTGTTTATGCACCTCACAGGATAAAATGTTCCTTCAAAATGTAAATCAAATGGAAAAGATTGAATAAAAACCCATATTTTAGGGAGAAAAGCTAATGGCAGGCTGGTGTAAGGAAGGACAGGAAGGAGCTTTCAGACATTATCAAACAGGGAACATATTCTCAGTCAATGTCCTGTAAAACAAATATGGATCCACAGACAGTCTGAGGAGGCTGTTGGCTGGAGGACGTGTGTGTGTGTGTGTGTGTCTGTGTGTGTTTGCGTGCATGTCCGTGTGCACGCATGTGTGTGTCATGAGTGGGCAGTGAGGTGGATAATCTCTCAGACTGCTGAAAATGACTCTATTGATCAGTGCTTCTCAGTCACACATCTTTAAGTACTGCAGTATTATACAGCTGCTGTCTGCCTGGGTTTAAAGGGAGTAAATATCAGGGCTGAGGGACTGTGTTTGTACATTGAGAATTTGGAAAATACACTTTATTATTTCACCTGGTTGTTATTGGAACTCTTAACAGTTTAGTTTAATGAATTCATGGTTATTAAGTCACATTTTCATTGGCTTGTCATTGCTCTTAAGTCATGAGCATATTAACTGATATCATTAATGAATCCTCATCAAGTCATTAATCCTATCATATTGAGAGTAATAGATCATGTCTCAGTGTGAAGGCTGTGTTGGGTGGCAGTGGATAATTGTCATGTTTTAAAAAAGAGGTCACCTGTCGCCATCTAGTGGTACAGATTTCCAAGACCCACATTATAGTTTGTAGCTGCTTTGTTGGCCTTTGCATTTAGAGAAATAAAATCATGCCACGTTAAAAAACTGCTATAAAAATATATAGTGATTTCATTTTTCAACTTTATTAGTCTTGATAACAACTATCAGATATTAATTTATTATCAGAATGTTAACTCTTTAAATAGCCGTTAGTTTACATAATGCACTTTTTGTTTGGTGAAGAAAAGAAAATCCCACAAAAACGGTATAATATGGCAGCATTATAGGTTACGTTGCTCGCTGCAGTTTCAGCCGTTGCTACGCAGCAAAACTGACTTATTTTTCATAGCTGAAGCTATAGATCATATTTAAATTAATAAGACCATTTTTATCAATAGCTTAAATAGCTTTTATATCAGGTCAATTTCAACACCAAACACCCGTTGTGGTGCTTCTCAGTTAAATGAGTAATTGGTGCATTTGTAGTCAAATGGATTGCTTGTGATAGTCCTGCGATAGCCACGATTTATCTGTGTGCCACATTCAGGGAGCCTCTTTCCTAAGGGATTTCTATTTAAAGAAATCTGCAAAGAAAGAAAGAAATATTTATAATCTACAACTGTTTGGAAAATGTCTTTATTTTGTAAAGTACAAAGTCTATTCCCACCAAAAACATAAAATGTATCCCATCATGAAGATCAGCTTATAGACTTAACAATTAGCCATGCTAGCACCAGTCTGAGGCTGTTTGTTTGTGCACAGTGGTGCTTTGAGCTAATGTCAGCATGCCATTGTCCCAATGTTAATATGCTATTACTGATTTGCATATTAGCGTGCCAAGATTTGCCAGTTAGAAATGTATATATATCAAAAATGTTTGGTTTGGACAATTATAAGTATGTCCAGATGGTGGGGCTAGATGTAAAGGTAAGGGATCACCAATGTGAATACAACATTTTAAAAAAGTATTCAGGGAGAATGCATGTCTGAACCAAATTTCATTGAAAATCCATCCAACAGTTGTCTAAGAAATGTAATCAACAAATGTATTATGCTACATACTGGTGGCACCATGGATATTAACATAAATATAGACAATCCATCAAATAGTTGTTGGGATATAAAATAGAGGACTGACCAGAGCTAGCATGGCTAAAAACACACACAAAATCCACAGTCACAGTATAACACAAAGATATTGAGATATACGATATATGTTAAAATCACAGTTTTCTTAACACCCATTACCCATAATTGTTGATTTGATACAATTGTTGTGGTCATCTTCCAGTTCTGTTTTTAATAAAACTGTGCTTTGTTGCTCAAATCTGTAATACATTGATTGAAATCAGATTTTCAGTTTGAACAGTATTTTTAACTAACGTAAGAAGTCTAAGCTTAGTTAGATTGACAATCATAAAGACAACATTTTCTGTTGCTTTAGTGACTACACCGCCCACCTCATGGCTAATCCAGAACTGGGCAGAGGCCAAGTGTCAGTTGCAGGGGAGTGTTCGGGTGATGACAGCTGTGACAGACACTTGTAGGTTTTGGAACATCAGCGTACACTTCTCCTTTGTTCACACAAGTTAGAGATGTTAATGTTTTGTTATGCAACATTAAATATGTCAGTAAATACCCCACTTGTGTTTTTCCAAAGCTGTCTTGTGTCTCCAAAAACACTGGTTGCGAGCAGGTGGCTAATTGACATTACTAAACATCTGCAAGTGGTTGTAAAATGTAGTCATGTTGTGTGTTGTTGGTTTGTAGCCTAACATTAACTTTTTACTTCCTTATGTACACACAAATCATAAAAACCACATGTGTAAGTAACGTTTGTTTGCCACAGAGATTATTTTCTGAATCAGTCCAATTGAAAACATCTCATTGGCTATTTGTCCATAGAACCAGAGCAATGCTTACTTTCGGGGTTTGCGTATACCAAATATGTCATGCATGTTCTTGTCAGCTTGTCTCACTTTTTGGAAAAGCTTGCAAAACCAATTCCTAAAGAAAATGTTTATTAATCTAATATTTGCCCTAAACCCTAAGAAATATACCTAAAGTTACCTCAAAACTTCAAACAGAAATGATTATTTTCTGTGTGAACATACATTTGTATGAACATAGGATTGTAAAACAAACTTTTCTTCAGCTTTATGTGCTGCTGTGATTCCAAGTGCATCCTGCCGCCATTTCAGTTTAAGTGTACATCGAAAGGTACATCCACTGCAAATTAAGGAAGGGTAAAGTATTATTTCATTGCATTTCATCACAGAAAATTAAAAGTGTAGTACCAGAATCCAACATTCTCTAGAACAAACTCTTAATATTGAATCGTATTGAAACAGACATTATTTTCTGCCAATATGAGGTTCCACCCTTAGTTTCAGATCAACAGCTGGGCAGGTTTGAATATTAAAAATCTCTGAAAATGTTATTTTTTTACCTCTGATTCAAGAAGAGTCATGTTCATCCCATTAGACAACTGGCCAAAGATTTCTGTTGAGAAAGACACACATTGTATTACAGCACTCACTCAACTGTAAATGAAACAGTAACTGTACAGTATCTGTCAGGGTGTCAAGAAATTCTAGCATTTACTTGTATTTTGGGGGGGAGATAAAACAAATACCCGTGTGGTGTTGTCATAAAAAAATGCATGACAAACTGGTAAGAAAGTATTTTATTTTATTATAACATGATTTCTGAATTGTTGTCATATTGACAAACCGCTGTTACAGAGAGCCCCTGTGGTCCCCCTCTGTATAATGTGGCTACACAGAACATATGCTCAGTATGTTGCTACCGCTAACATACTGCGAGCACTATCTGTTCCTACAGTGGTAACCGTGTCCACTATCCCCCACTCCTGTGTAACTTCAAGAAACTGGAGCATGGTTCAGCAAAAAACATTTCCTCTGTTTTCACCACACCTAACGCGAACAAGTGCAGTTGCCATTTCTTATCGATTAGGTCTGCTGTCACAGTGAGGTAGTGTGAGTGGTCTCCAGTCAGTGCAACACATGTAGCTTGTGTCGATGTAGCCCCTTCCTTTTCTATTTCACTGCCATTCAAAAAATCCGATCTGGAATAAAGGGGTCAATCTGAGTGATATAATTACTTTGCAGGGATTTTTTTTCGTTTTTTTTTTTTTAACTCTGCATGTGTCATGTCTGTTTTTTACTTCCTGTCTTTGTGTGTTTTCCTGCCTGTTTTGATTGTCTGTCCAGGGTTGCGAATAGTCCAAAAATCAGCTCCTATCGTCTATCCCTTGACCTCTGAGTGAAACGTCACAGGGTTAAGGGATAGTGGATAGGAGAATTCAAAAGGACTTAGGAGAAGAGACTGCGGTACTTTAGAGAATCCGACTGCACTTTCACTATCCGACGTGTTTATGATGCGCCAGCGGACGTCATAAATGTGCGTCTGCTGCTGTGGGGAAACTATGGAAACTACAGTTTTCTATACAGCGGACTACAACATGGATGTTTAATAAGAACGAGGGACTACTGTAAACTCATCTAGAGACTCTGCACCGTGCTCTGATGCTGTTGTTTTATGCTTTATGAACGGGGACAACAGAGAAACATATTCTTCATGACCAAAGTTGGAATTGAAATAAAAAAGGAAAGTGAAACTTATGCTCGTCACCCTCTCCCTCCGGTCCACATTAATACAAATGATCCCAATACGTATTATTGTATGAAAATATCTCAAAATAAATACAAATGTATTTATTATAAACGTTAGTCCTTAACATCTATCACTGTGTATATCACCATTCAAACATCTTTTAAAAGTTGAACAAACCCCACACAGCTCAGTAAAGACTGTGAAATGTTGACTTTATTTGATCATTTCAGTAAAAACTAACGTTCATATTTCTCTTTTTGATTATAATACTGATGAACGTTCAAAACAAAGCACTTTCATGATATCATTTCTCGGTCATAATCGGTTGTTTCCTTGAACGGCCGACTGTTGTGTGATGGCAAATGCTGCGGCCGCAAGGCATTCTGGGGCAGCATTTTCTCCTTTCCTTTCGTAAAGGAAGGTCCAGTGGTTCCTAAGCTAAAGGAGGTTATAAAGGAAGTTTGAAACCTCCTTTCCTATCATCAATTTGAACGGTTCTTATCATGGCTGCCACTGAGGTACTTCCGGGTCATTTCACTCTGTTAGGAAGGTTCCTAAGCAAAACGGACTATTCGACCGCAACCCCGGTCTCGTTAGTTTCCCCATCAGACCTTCTGTATTCCTACATTTATCTTCTCATTTGTTCAGCATTTAAGTCCTAATTTTAGTTAGTCTTTGTCGGATTCTTGTATGTTGTACTGTAAAGTTCGGTTCGGTTCCATTTGCCTTGCCTTTCCTTGCCATGCTTTGTCTTAAATTGAAGTCTTAAAAGTTCCTGTTGTTTACAATTGAGTCCCACCTAGCTCAGCTTTAGTTTTGTAGTCAACTTAACAGAGTCGAGCAGAACTGTCGGCCCTCAGCTGAAAATAATTAGGCTGGACCAGTGTTCTCTGCCATGTAAGGCCAGGAAGATAGAGAGACAGCGATCTGTAAAGTATCAAAATAACTTAACTCTAGATTCAGTTTACTGCTTACCCTGTTTAGGCAAAAACATTTACAGAATGGCTGTGCATGAAAACTGACTTTGGCATGCAGCGTAAACACTTTATCTGCTCTGTATTTACATTGTTTGGTCCCTTGGTTAAGCGCTCAATAACCCTTCAGGACTGCAGTTCCAGCTTCCGGGAGCCTCTCTGTGTTTTCCAGTATTACTGCTCAAAAGAATTTCCAGTACACATTCAACATTTCATTGAAAACCATCCGCTAGTTCTTGAGAACTGTCACTTTAAACCACAAGAGTACATCTGGTAGTCCATGTTTTGTCTATTGAGGTCATTTTAAATTGTGACAGCACAAGAGAGAGACTCAAAGTTAAATATAATACGAGTTTAGGTACTATTTAGTGTTGTTTCGCGTCATCGGTTACCCATCTGTACTTACGGCTCATGCAGTCGAAGCGCAGCACCATACTGATGAAGCTCTCCAGGGTGATGTGTCCAGAGGAGGCTCCGTAGCGCAGAGCCAACAAGTTCAGCATGTCATCGCTGACCCTCTTTCCTGACCGTTAAAAATAGGACAAGAGTTTAGGTATGGCTTGATAAGGGCTGCAAAAAACTATTGTGATTAAGAAACCGTTTACCAACAGCCTGCCTTGTGGAGGGGTTTGTTTGCTCTCTGTGTTAACATTTGGATTATACAAAATGCAAACGGGCAGCAGTGGGTTTAAGTAATTCAATGTTCAAGGTAAATGTCAGTCAAACACAAAAGCAGGGATTCACATTACACAATCGGAGTAAAGCTCTGTTTTTCTTTCGTTGACAGACAAGCATGCTGTACTATACTTAGTCAAAACTTTACCAAATCCTTCCTTTAAGATTCTCTGCTACATGCTTAAACTTGTCTGCTGCAGCTAAATACATCTTTTATACTTCGTGCCTGGAGGCCAAATGCATTTCTTTCATTGTAGACTTAAGACTAAAGCCCAGTAAAAAAGCAAAAATGTTGACAAATCCGTTAGCCATGCCATTCCGGAGCACCTTGGGGTTAAGTATCTTGCCCAAGAAAACATCGACATGTTGACTGCAGGGGCTGGGATCCAACCCATAATCTTCCAGTTGAAAGACGACCCCACAACCTAACAGCCCTAGTTGCAAAAAAGAACACACACAATAGGCTGATTGTTACCTGAAGCCATGACAGCATTCCTCAGCTCGCTCAGTAACAGTGTTCCTGTCTTTGAAACATCAGTGCGGAAGAAAATGTCCTGGTAAAACAGAAGACAGTGGGTTTTGTAGAACACAGTAAGAACATATGAACTCTCAATCAGGAAAGAATCTAACTCTATCACTCAAAGTTGTTGGTTTTCGTGAACCTTTTCTTGGTTATTTTTACCTTGTACGTGACGACCCTCTTCCAGAGGCGAATAAATTCCTCTCCATTCAGTTTGCCAGTGACTGATGTCTAACCAAAAATGAAGGTATATAACTTTACTAGATGTTGTTTCATGTCTCAGCCTGACCTTTAAATCTGTTCATGAGAGTGAAACTAGCAAAAGGGCGGGCAGGTTTTGGCAGGTACACTACTACTACTACATTTACTGTGAGAGATTTCCCCTTAAGCAGTATGTAAACTGATGTTCTCATTTATAGTGTTCGTTTCAATGTCTTACGTGCCTCCCTGCATATTCCTTAAAAGCGTTGATACCATTATCCCAATCCTGATCCTTCATCGACAAATCAGAGTCGGAATGCCCGTACTTCATTATAGCTTTTGCTAATATGAAGTGAATGAGCACATGTCAGATCCATTAGGAAACCACCAGTCATGCTATGTCATGCCTGGCCTTTAAATGTGTTCATGAGTGTGAAACTAGCAAAAGGGCAGGCAGGTTTTGGCAGGTACTCAACACTATGTGTTTTATGCAACTGCATTCACTGTGAGAGACCGCCTTAATAAAAAAAACGATATGGAGAAAAATGTCAAGCATGCAATGTATTCTATACAACAATACTCAAGGAATAAGACATTAGAGGATACATCCATCAGAGCAACCATGCTGCGACAGGCATCAATGCTGAAGCCTCCAGATTTCATGTCTCCTAAATAAAAGTAGAAAAGAAACAGGACTTTTAATTGAGCTCAAACCTCCTAGTGCGTGCTACTCAAGACTTTAATATTTGAAACCTTTTAGAATGTTTTCATTTAGAAGCCTCTGAAGCTGCTCAGCATCCACTTCTTCGTACTGGGAATGAGAACAAGAAAATACTTATTTAGTATTTGGCTCACATGTTGGCTGTCATAACTTACCTTTATATTTAAAGGTAGTTAAAATCACTGCATATAGAAAAGTCTCTGTAACTGTCCTTTTCTTTGCAAAGGGTCTACATCAATTACCTTGTCAGAGTATTGACGGAAAAAGATTTTCTTCTTTTCGTCGTTCTCCTCATTTTCAGTTCCTTTGTCCTGCAATACATTGAGTGCTTTCAGCTCGAGATGAACCAATGCAATAATGTTCAAATTATACAGTTTTGTCTCGTATGCTACAAATGTTAACAACATAATAATATAATCTATCTATCTATTGAAATCTTGCACACCTCTTCCATCGCTTCCTCCTGTTCGTGGTCATGGCCATCAGAATTTTCACTGAAAGGAAAGACAAGAGACATCAGGACATTGCTTGTGGCCAGTTCTGGTCAACAAGAACAGCAAGAGATAGTAAATTAAGTGTAAGGTGTTACAATTTGACATAATAGTTACTAGTCCTATGAACACTCTGTTACTTTAATAAATGTTGGGCTCAGCTTGTTAGTAATACTTCAACCCCTAAATAATAATCTGTACATCAATCACCGACCTGATGGTAACTTCAATGAGCGAAAAAAAGGTGCCTCTGCAGTTTACCAATCAGTAAAAGGTCCAGTTGAATGGAAGTAAACCCAAATCCTGATTGGCTGGTGATCGTAGGTTAACCCACTCACCCTTTTAATAGCTAACCATTCCAAATAAGCTTCTCCTCTCGCTTTCCCCAGCGAGAAGAGCTGTCTGGTCAGACGTCTCACGCTAAGTAATTGAGAACCAGGGTTCAAGGCTCAAGGTTCAAGGCTTGTATTTGTCATACGTACATAGCTACAGTGTAGTTATGACGATGAAAATCTTAGGTCACAGGCTCCACCAACAGTGTAACACAATAAAACAGAAAAAGATAAGTGAGTAAATACAAAAAAGAAAATAGTAAAATTGTGAAATAGTGCAATAAGAGTCTAAGTGATTGGAATATGTTACGCAAGTAACCTAACGTTTTGATATCGTTTTCGGATGATACAAATGATCAGTTCAGGGTTGAAGTATACCTTAAACAGGTGTGATGGAGTACTCAATAATCAGTGGTTCTCTGTGCTTTGCAGTTGTAATGTAGATTTAATGCACTGTCAATTGATTGAAGTGTTCAAGTAACTTCCCCAACACTGCTTGCGGAACTACCATTTACTCTTTGATAGGCTCATATTATGTGTTGCGTATATATTTGTACAAGCCTTTAAAGAGTTATTGTATGTTTAGAATGCTTACTGGACGTGGGTCTCTGACTTGGAGAGGATGGTCAGGATGAAGGAGGCAGTCTCATTGGGATTAAAGGTGGACGGTACGATCAGGTACTCGCCAGGCTTTAGCATCAGGAACCCCATCACCTCACGTGCATTTGCGTAGGTTTTAGTTTGGTAGACAGGTCTGTTCTTGTTGAAGAACGAGGCTGGGAACTTTCCCTTCAGTGACTTGTACTGTAAAACCAGTCATAAATAATGTATAAACATGTTGTTTTATATTATAGCTTTACAATTTAGGTGGGCATGAACTGTGTATGAGGATCGGGATAAAAATCGTACTTACTTCTTCAGTCACCTTTGAATAAATAAGAGGAAAATAAATTAGTTTAAAGTTTGACGTATACCAACATTCTAAAAAAATAGGCTCTTAGTGAGTGAATGTTGTTTTCTTTGTAGAATGTCATGAGCCACATACTATAAATGCAAAATGTGTAATATTTACCTCAAATACAGAGAATCCAATGTGGAGACTTTGGACCAGACGTCTGTTCCTCTTGTCAGGCTTTTGCATCAGAGATACCAGCATGTTCTTCTCACCCTGTTTCCCAGAACATTCACTGAGTACTTCATCAATCTTGACCCGGTACTGCGGATTTGTCCAGAAAAGGTCTGGAAGGCAAAGATATATATAAAAAAAAGGTCTATTAGTTTACTACACGGCTTAGTTGAATACTTGATTCTGATTGGTCAATTTAGACATTCAGCCCTTTTTCGATAGCAGAACGTTGCTCAGGACGCTCTGATCAAGGATCTGATCAGGAGGTTAACACTCAAGGGAACATGATGTGACTGACTTGGATTGAATCAATTAAATGATTTTAAAAATCAATATTGTGAGTCAAATCTTTCAATCATTTAGTAAGTAGCCCTGTAATAGGTGGGTCATTAATGAGAAAAGAACCCATTCCGGGTGAGCTATACCCTGTAGCAGCACATTATCCCTGACATGGTAATATGTTAGTGAGGGCTTGTTGGGGAGATTTTAAAGCCAGACAATTAGAATTTAATAATATTATACGTCCTGTTTCTCTTTTGAAGCCAGGAAAAGGCTAGTCACTGTGACCTTTTTACCTGTGCTAGACTATGGTGATTTGTTGTATATGAATGCACCTGCCCATTGCCTGGAAAGGTTAGATGCCGCCTATCACAGTGCTCTGAGATTTGTTACTAACTGTAAAGTACTTACTCATCACTGTACCCTGTATGCCAAGGCAGGTCTGCCTTCACTTACTGGTCGGAGGCTCAGTCATTGGTACATGTTCATCTACAAAGCCATGCTGGGTAAACTACCTTCTTATATCTGCTCTTTGATCTCACGGACAGTGGCAAGTAGCTATTGCCTGAGATCACAGGATGTGTTTTTATTACATGTGCCAAGTGCTAGGACTGTTTTAGGTACTAAAGCTTTTATGTGCGCTGCTCCTCTGGCTTGGAACACCATGCAACAAATATTGAAACTGAGCATTTTGATTCCCTTGCATCGTTTTAAAGCACGGCTGGATGAAATATTATTGGATACCTGTAAATGTAAATAGGTTGCTAATGTATACCCCTGTAATTATGTTGTGATGTCCTTTTGTTTTCTGTTTGTTTTTATATGTGTAACTAAATGTGCCGCAGGTCTCCCTTGTAAAAGAGATCGTTGATCTCAATGGGATTTTTTAACCTGGATAAATAAAGGCTACAAACAAACAAACAAACAATACATAATTAAAGTTCACTTATTATGCTATATAATATATCACATTAATCTCCCGCCCCGGACACACAAGAACGCGGTTTGATTGGCTAGCGCTTGTACTGGCATATGATTTGATTGGCTGGCGCTTCCGTCGACGCTTGAAAAGTTGAAAAGTTTTCTCAACTTTCAGCATGAGCAATGGAGGCAAAGCGAGGCAAAGCGAGGCAAAGCGAGGCAAAGCGAAGCAACGGAACCACAATGCAGTTCGTCAAAGCGTGACGTCACCCCATTCAAAGTGAATGGGAAGCGTCTCCGTTGAAGCACGCAACGTGTGTATAGTCCGTAAATGTAACCCGAGCTGCTGATGGCTCCGCCCCTTTGGAGCTGCTGCTGACCACGCCCCTTTGAAGCGTCCGCATGCAAGCAGTGAGCTCTGTGAAGAGAAGAGTGTCTACCAGCAGATACTCAGCTGAATGCTGCCATGATTAAACCCCATATCATGTTCCAAACCACATCAAGCATTATTTCTGAAACAGTATGGAGCTCAAAGGCTTTCTCTCTCGTGGGTTTACCACAAGGTGAGTACCTTTTTTATATCCGGCTTCTTTACACATACTCTCTCCAGTACAGCGTTAGCTCTGAGTGTTAGCGATGCTTGCTAATGTAAACACACCATATTACTCCCAAAACACGTTGCGCATTGTTTCTGATACAGTATAGCGACGTTCCTGATAGGGGATGATAGGTTAGGTCGGAACGTTGCCAGGAGTTCAACGTAAAGCCAGCCCACATTTTAGTAATGTTGTCATGACCGCATTAAATCTGGATCAGCTCCGTTGGAGGAAAAGAGAGGGTTTTATTTTCTGACACTTTGTGAGACTCCTTACACACCGGGGACACATATTTATGAATAAAATACATCAAAAAGTGCATAATAGAATACCTTTAAGTTGCGATTGAATTATGTATTTTTACAATTCAATTTAAAAAAGATCACACTTTAAAAATACATTTTTGAATTGGCTCAAATCATGTCTCCACATTCTGCAGTTTTGAATAAATCCAGATTGTAAATACCCAGGTTATTCATGCATCCTCCGGCAGTTGTTCCTGCAACCCATCGGCCCTCATAGAAGGAGGTCTTCCAGTGGCAAGATGTATTTCCATCAAGGAAGTCGGGACACAGACAGCAGATGTCCAGATCACTATAGAACCTACAGAAGTCTTCCAGGGTCATCCTGGTGACATCAGAGATCCATTTAGATGACTCATTGTTGTTTTAGTTCATTCACTTCATCCATAAAATTATTTAAGTAAGACAATGTTTACAATCAGCGCTTTTCGTTGCTACTCTGTATTTGTAGAAAGAAATTACTTAACTTTGTCAAATCTACATTGAGGCATGCTTACCAGAACTCCCCATTATCAGCCACAGAAAGGAACATCTCGCGTTCTTGAGGACTCACGGTCTGCCACAAAGGAGACCTTAAGAGAAGATTTATCAGTGAAGCATCCTTATTATACATGTTCCTTCACATTACAGTAAGAGTCAAGTAACGTTTCTTGAAGTGGGCACAAGTTCCAAAACGTGCGCCTCGTGGGGGTGGCCGGGATTTTTTGAACAGATGCTTTTGAGGAAGAAATATACAGTATTTCCGCTTGGGCTTAAACTCAACAATTTTGCAGTTAAAATAACTATAAACTATAAATATGGGCTCCATTGTTTTTGGAGCATAATGCATACTAGGCACTTATTGTCAGGATATCTCAGCCTCCATTACGTTGCCTTTCTTTTTAAATTTGCCGTTTTGGAAACCTCCAACAATATACAGTACATATATTAAATAATTTGAGCAGTCTTTAAAGGGGCCTTAATAAGAAGCAGTTCTGCCATCATGATTCCATAATTCAGTTGGGTTCATTGGATACCTTAGTTATTGGTAATTTAGCACACTTCAAAACCAATGCCGTTTCTGGTAAAAATAAAATACATTATTTTTCATTACAACTGATAAAGCCTTAGAGATATGAACGTAGAAGGTCTGTCAAAACTTGGCATCCCTAGCAATGGTCTGCTGTAAAATGGTACAACCAGTTTATTAAAGGTTGTTATAAAATGGTTGTGCGAGTTTGCAGTGAAAGGCTTCAGAAAGGATCCCATTGCTCTGATCAGAATTTCCACAAGCGTGTTACATTACATTACATGTTACTTGTTAGACGCTTTTATCCAGAGCGACTTACATACTCAATACTATGGGCAATCCCCACAGGAGCAATTTGGGGTGAAGTGTCTCAGGGACACAACAACATGCTGACTGCAGTGGGGTTTGAACCTGTGACCCCCTGATCCCAACACCAAGGCTATATCCACTGCGCCACACGCCTCCATGTTAAAACACGATGAACAAAAGCTAATGTAGTAATTTGCCTTTGTGCTACAATAAACATGTATGCAATACTATTTTGTCATTGAAAATAAATCTCAGTTTATTTCCCAAGGCAACAGATCAAAGCAATGTCTCTGTGAAACAGTCACTGTGTCATTTTTACTTGTCACTCCAGTCTCCGATCCACTCTTTTTCGCCCCAGGGGTTCCACAAACGCACCAGGTGTACCGGTTGCCCTTGGCTCGTCATCTGATCAGCATGACCAGAGGAAACACACAGTTATTTGATATGAAAATAATTACACTTTACTACGAGTTTACAGTAGAGGCCAGCCTAAAGGTGCTATAAACGGCAATGTGCATATGGGGGGGGGGGGGGTGTTGAAGGTGTGGGAGAGAAACACAGGGATTTTAGCCTTTGCAGACCATTTACGTGCACAAAAACCTATATAACACTACAGGAAAGGGAAAACCCCAATAAGCAGAATAAGGCCGCTTTAACACTCTACGCGTACTTTGTTAGCACTGTTAGCATCGTTAGCAGCTCTGTTGTAGCACTGTGAGAGCCGTGGGGAAGCAATCCCAGCTGAGAATAATACATATGCTCTGAATGTCGTGTATTGCACCTTTAAGCTTTTATTATCTCAAAACTCTGAATATCAACAAAAGACATTTGCAGGACCTAAATTATGTATACTGGATATAATGATAATATAATAAAAAAAACCTTCACCTGTTTCACACCTGTGACAGTGTAGGCATGTCCTTGGACGATTCCATTTGGTAAAACCGTGTTGGCAGATGTGGCCTAGAAGATTTAGATACATGTTATTATTGGAGTCAGAATAGTGCATAATTATCACTCGATAAATTAAGTAAACAGAAGACCATCATTTGATATTGTTTTGAGCCAAATATAATGTTAGAATAATGTGAAGAATAGAATGGCACCTGTAGAGAGCAGACCTCCGCTGAGGCAGTTTCGATAAGGGAATAATAATTTGTACAGATCCGCTCCAAAACGAAATGGGTTCTGCCTGGGCTCATAGTCACATACTATACCGGTTCACCAAGTTTCAATAAATCAAGCCGGTAGATTTCCGTAATCCTACTTACAAAGAAAGAAACCAACTAACCGAACCTAAAACATAACTAATCTTTAAAAATAATATACTGGATTACCCTGAGTGACAGGTGCATCAACCACACACACTGTATAATTAGACTGCGCCCACTGGCACGCTATCTTTAATCTCTTTATTTAAATGTAAAATCTGTCACTAGCCTCTAGTTATCATAATGTAGGGACATTTGTCACGGTCGCACCGATATGCTCATTTAATCAAACGGATGTACACATATAGCAAACAGGAGAGTCATCAGGTGTGTTCATCTGGTATCCTAATTACTCTGGGTAGGATGTTGAGCTGATAGGAGTTACAGTTTTTTACTTAGAAGCAATAATGCAGCACAATATGATCAATACATTCTCTGACAGGCTGTCTCTCGTTCACTGGCAGGGCATTGCCGTGGAAATGCTTTAATCTTTGAACACGCCTGTCGGATTTATCAAGTGGTGATCTAAAGATGTTCAGAAACGATGCAGGAATCGGGTACAAGAATCCAAAAATGTAATAGATAAACAGTTAAAATAGTCAGCTAAAAGTGAGCTAAAATTTATGGATATTCTTTGTTGTACCTTAACAATACAACTAATGCTATTAATACTAACTCAGCAGGGGAATTGTTAGCATCGGGACGCACACCCAAGTTTCAGTCACACAGTCAACATTTCTCTGAATTTTCGAGTTCACACATACTGTACAGAATCAAAAGCAGCAGTATGTTCCTTGCTTGACAATTAAGTAGTCATTTCCTGAATGATATCCCTTGTCATTGTCATATCAACTATGTACTTCTGTTAGCTGCAGGGATTAAGAAAAATGGGTACCACTTTACAATAAGACTACCCTTATAAAGGGTTTACGAATAGTTTGTAATTCATTTATTAATTAGGTTGTGAACACTTTATAAATCATTAATAAGCTTTTATAACACATGAGATAAACAGGGCAACTGTGACCGGTTGCTTGCCAAATAGTGAGCCCACATTTATCTGTACTGCTAAGCCTTGGCTACTTAGCGTATACTTTTTGTTCTTCATCAGCCAGCATCCTTAGTATCTGTTGCTCACTGAGTTGATTCTCGCTAAGTAGCCAATATAAGGCTTAGTCATCTTGCCAAATAGTGAGCCCACATTTATCTGCACTGCTAAGCCTTATTAGAAATGGTAGTAACTCATTAATAAATGGTGATTTGTTTCACACTTTACAATAAGGCTCCCTTTTGGCAACTATAAATGTTAGTAACTCGTAAATAAATGGTCATAAGAGATGCCAAGAAACATCAAGATGGATGGGGGGAATCAACTCAGTGAACAACAGATACCAAGGATAGGCTACCATAGCTTACTTCGTCTTCTTCATCAGCCAGCTTCCTTGGTATCTGTTGTTCACCAAGTTGATTCTCGCTAAGTAGCCATATAATAAGCCAATATAAGGCTTAGTCATCTTGCCAAATAGTGAGCCTGTGTTGATGTATGAAAAGGATGTTAGAACTGGTCTATGAATGGTTCTTAATGATTAATAAAGTGTTTACAACCTAATTAATAACCTAATTATAAACCCTTTATGAATCCTTTATAAGGGTAGTCTTATTGTAAAGTGGTACCGAAAAATGTGTCAAACCCCTGATTTATTGAGACTTGGCAGTCCCCATGTAAACAGGCAGTTATCGACACACATAAATCACCATAGTAATGCTTTCAGTTATCTGTTGTGACAAGTGAAAACGTTAAAGCAGCCAGAAAGATACTTTAATAATCTTTCTAACTATGACATTCTAACCATGTACTTGGGCCATGATCATTTTAGCCTTAAGATGCTTTGGTGAATCGGGGCTTTGGTCTATTGGACAACCCAAAAGGTTTGAGCACATGAAGCAAAGGGAGCTAGTCAGTGTTGGTTATGGTATATTTGTTCTTACCCCCTGAGGTGTACCACAGCCCATCAGTGACTTGGATTGGCCAGCTCTGCACATCAACTCCCACAGATGTGGGGGAGGTTCTGTCAGATCAATACACATGTGAACTCCACCGGTGAAGTCCACTAAAGCCTCGGCAGGAGTTCCAGCATTCATGTCTAAGTAGGAACCGCACACTCTGACAGAAGTGGGCGTGAAATTAATGACACATATCGACTTCTGAGAAAATGCATTTCAGGAATGAGAAACATAACATTGTTTTTCCATACTTTGCATAAGCTTTCTCCAGCAAAGCAGGCCAGAACTCAGTTGGGTCTTTGGAGTGAACAAAGACCAGTCTGCCATCGATAGTTGGTAGTTTGTCATCAATGACAACATCAACCCATCTTCCAAACCTCCAGAACTGAGTAGTTGTGAAAGGAGATAATATAAATAATTAAATAGCAATATATGACAAGATGAGATGGGTTATCATTTAGGATATACAGATGGCAAGGTTGTTGATGTACCCTGAAGTGGAATATTCCGCAGTACTCCTCATTAAATGTTTGAGGTGGAACAACCTGCCTAAGGATGAAGTCCTGGAATGTCAGAGCTCCGATTGATGCAAGAAACCAGCAGTTTCCTGAGAGGGAAATGGACATTTGTTTTCAGGAAGGTGTATAAGAAGGAGAAGGCATGACAGTTAAATGTGAACAGAAGGGTTTCCAGATTACAACCTATTGACAATGCTAACACAGCTTGAAAAACAATTTATGGATTATGGATTTATGGTTATAAATAAAGCAGTTTCCATACCAAGCATGCCTTGACCAAAGTCAAACCTGGAGACCCCATCAACTTCAAACATTGGATTGGGAACCATTTTCTGAAAGAGAGGAATTGTTGACATTACTCGTTAAGAACAACTAGCACAAGAGCTAACACAAATGACTTGTGCCAGCCCAACATTAACAAGGATCAACATTAAACACGTATGAACGGATGAACAGTTGAACATTTAGCAGAGAGAAACATGTGATTTGAAATTGAAAGCTGAAACACTCACATGTGGTCTCAGCCACACCACTCGCTTCAGGTCATCAGCCTCCAGTAACCCAGTCCCGATGGACCTCGCGTCAGGGGGGAACATGTCGTCGATGTACCGTACCCGTTTAATCATACAGTACTGTTTCAGCTGCTCAAAGTCTTGGTCCAGAAACTTCTGAGGGTTAGTGACGATCCCATTACCATCTTTCAGGTGACGGGCGTTGATGATGTTCATACACACACCTGGATGAGGCATTCTGCAGGGTTTGAACTCTGTTCAGAAAAGGGAGCATTTTAAAATGAGAAAGGGTTCTTTGAAAAAAGTTGGCTTTGGATGTTGATGTGAAATACATTAGAAAGAGTTGACATATCGCCCATCATCCATAGCTGTTTCATTTCCTTTGTCCACCATGCCATGTGCGTGGGGCATACAAACAGCAGATTAAACCAGATCATTATAACCAACGTAAGATTTGGATAAATACGACAAATAATTAGCATGTAACTGTTCAATTTGATCCAAAGGCATTGATCCTTGGCATTTGGACTTCAAGTTTGAAACAAAAAACATGAAAAACACTGTGAGACGCCTTCGTCTACCCTCATAAGACCCCCATACTGATCTTTTATTTTGCTAAGCAAAATATGTCCAACTGCACTTAATGTTTGGCATCATAGATCAAAGCAGCACAGACTCTTCCAAAGAAAATAAACCAAACTATTTGTTGTCCTCTGTAACATTTAAGACATTCATATCATATTAGTTTGTGTCCTAAACCAACTAATTATTATCTGAGTTTGCAAAGACCTGCATGCCAGGGCATTTGGACCCTAAAAGTCAATATGCATGTTAATACCTGTCTTACGATGTATGTAAGTAGCGTTTGGTATTACATGACATTTTTTGTTCTGTGTTGTGTTTTGCTGTTTGTTGTAGCTGCCACGTTATTGGCATATATAAAAAAGAAAAGAATGAAAGACTATACATTTACGCTGCCACATAGCTTTGTGAAAAAAGAACACTTAAAACCAACGCATGACTGAATAGAAAGGAATAAAATAAGACTTAAATAACAATCATACAAAAATAACCCATTATACTGAGATGTGTAGTGCAGGCCCCTTATACCATTGTAGTGTCTCTAAGGAGGAACAGTTAGAACTGGGACTACAACTAGGATAATATCAGTTGCTAAACAATTTGAGAAAGTGTAAATCGACTTGTTACCTGGCATGTTAACTACAAAAAATCTTACCTCACCAGCTGGAAAGAGAAAGTGTTGGGTCTTGGTGAAAGAGCAAGTATGAGAAAAGACGCCCCAGTTTTTGTATTAAACCTGTAGCAAACGCCTCAGGCTGCTTCTGTCAAGACGGGATGTTCTTTTTAGAACTGCACCTACTGTAAGTGTACAGGCAGATGAGAGCTAGACAGACAGGAGGATAAGGGAGGGGAGGGTGATTAGATAAGAGCGACTGACAACATTTCATTAGCTTCATTGTTTTATCCTTTTATTCCATTTATTTTTCCTTTTATTACCATGCTCCTTGACTCTCCTCTCAACCCCCCTTTAGACCACAAAGGTTGTTATCAGTATTATTATTATTATTATCGAACACTCATTTGTCAATATTAAGCCTGTCGATGTTGTTATCATTATCATATTGTTGTTCATACTAAGGGTGTTGCTGTTGATGCTATACTAATTACTAACTTATTATTATTCTACTTACATAAATATATATATTTGTTCTCCTTTCTTCACGAAACGCACAGTAACACCCACAACCCCCACAATCCCCTGCCCTCCTGTGCATTGTGATATAAAGTGGCACGGGCCCCAACTCAGACCATCATTCGGAGCACCCATGGTGTAGGCATGTCCAGTGCGGTGAAGGGATCCATTTGTACCTCCCAAACCCAAAACCACAACATCAACAACAATTGGTTTTATAAAATGAAACTTATACATTATTGGGGAAAGAAAAAAGTGGGACAAAGCTCGATCACGCAGAGTAAACGCCCTCCTAGGGGTCAGGACGTTGCCCCCCAAAGCATCAGCCACCGCCAGTCAACTCTGAACAAAAATCCATTAAAAAGGTACTGCAGGGTGAGCAAACCCCCTCCTGAGGGTCTGAGGGTTGCCCATGAACAGATCAGCATCCACTGAACAAGGTTTGGGTGTAGGAGGACTTCTGGCCTCCCTGTCACTGCACCCCACCACCCACAATTTGGGCTTACTCCTTTAAGGCCCTGCTACTATCATTTGTATTCTACATTTGTCATTTATTACTGTTTTATGTTGTCTAATCTCTCTAACACAGACAAGCAAACACACACACCATTTTTCTTGTCTCCATGTATATTTTGTCATTTGTTATTTGTCTTTACTTGTAAATTCACCTTACTGTCGTATGTGTATCTGTGACACTGTACTTGTACACACTTGTCTTGTAACTCCTATATTACTAAATAACAATCTAAAAAAAACCGAAGTGTTGGGTTTCAGTGAAAGAGCAACTATGAGAAATGATGCCCAAGTCTTTGTATTAAACCTGCAAACGCCTCAGGCTGCTTCTGTCAGGATGGAATGTTCTCGATGTTTAGAACTGTACCTACTGTAAGTATACAGGCAGATGAGAGCGAGACAGACGGGAGGAAAAGGGGAGGGGAAGATAATTACACAAGAGTGACTGACAACATTTCATTAGCCAACTTTTCACGTTCCAAAACTGTGCTTGTCACATTAACACCTTTTCTGTGCACGTAAAGACATAATTTGCTCAGGGTTGGCTGCCTTGCATTGGCAGAAAAACTAAGACCTTTGTTAGGCCCTTTATTTGAACTCCAGAGAGTGACCAAATGCCATCATTGTGTGACGTTTATAATCTGTTATTTTACACCTAAGGCTACTGGTGATTATGGTTGGAAGGAGTGTACCCAAGCATGCATCAGGTGAGAGGTGAGGAACACCCACATATGTTGATTGATATGCATTGACAAATAGGTGTTTCACATGCACTTTGACTTTCATTCAAAAAGTCTATGATGCAATGTGTAACGCCACCTAAGAAAGATGATGGGATTTTGTGAATTGAGATGCAGAAAACAAGACATTCTTAAGTGCAGTTTGCCTGAAGTTGGATGTATTTTCATGTCAAGTGAGAGAGTAATGAGTCTCACTGTGTTTTATGTTTTTCGTTTCAAATTAGAAACCCCTTTTATCATAGTATATGTTTCATCAAAAATCTGTCGTATAAAATGTTTTATCTGCATTTGTTCGGGTGTACTTTGATGATCTTGTGTCTGCTGAATAAAGTGCCTGAAATGAGAATGGACATTTTGGACTGGTGCACCCATTTTGATTGATATCAGAGGATTACATTGGCTTTACAATTATTAATCTGCTTGTGGGTCAGATAGAAACAGCTACATCAGCTAGTCATTCATTTGCATGGCACACACTTGCACATGAAACTGACTGAGGGGTTAGGGTTGTGACCACCGAGCAACCTCCGAAAGAACAAGGGTCTCGACTCAAATACTGTTTCCAGTTCTCTTTATATAGTCTTTTTGCACTACTTTTTATTTTGTATTTTCGTATTTTATTATATATGTTGCATTGTTGGAGGAGCTCAGGTCAGAAGAATTTCATTGCCATTTCTACACTGTAGCTTTGTGCATATGACAATAACACCTTTGAATTTGAATCCTTTATACATTCATGAGGTTGCCGCCAGGTTACTCCATAAACTTCATCACCTGACCTACGCCTTTTCTCCTGTCCTGAATACTCTGGTTGTTAGAGATCAGTGTTTTCTTCTTGTATTGCTAATTATGCTGTTCAACCCTCTTTACAGATGATAAATCAGACTAGTTGTTGTTGCAGCTCCTTTCTGACCCACATCTTTCAAGCCGATTACCACACATGACATGTACCAGCTGATGAATTGAAACCCCACACAAGGCATTATGTTGACATTATGACTGTATTACACTATGTACATGTTAAGCATTATTGTAAACGTTTTTATTTATTTTAATGCTTTTATTTTTCATTTTAAAATGCATCAACTGTTAAAATAACATTGTCTGATTCTGATGAAACCAGGTGGCTGTACTGTCATTAGCCACAAGAGGGCAGAATTGCAACAGTACTAGATGGAGAACAGGTAATCCTATAGATCAGGGGTGTCAAACTCAATTTCATGCGGGCCACATTCACATAAAGGTTGCACTCAAAGGGCCGGTTGTAACTATATAAATATATAATATATATATAAAATAATGTATTATATTACATTATTGCCTCTGAATTGGATTATTATCGGATAGGATAATAACTTAGTAATTAACTACTTCTGAAAGCAGAAGTCCACGGCAAATAATTGCAAGTCTCTTCAGTGCGCATGTCACAAAACAAGATGCATTGTGGGACATGTCGTATATGGGCAACGTGCTTCTGTAAAGTGGCATGTAACCGTATAATAAACTTATTATATTCTTTGCAAGCTCTTGCTGGGCCACATAAAATGAAGTCGCAGGCCGGATTTGGCCCCCGGGCCTTGAGTTTGAGACCCCTGCTATAGATAGACTGTATAAAGGTAATACCCCCGACACAACCTGTACTTACTTCCTCCCTCTGGTAACGGATTTTATATTTTGTTAATACACTTGTGGTTTTGGCCTTACAGAGGCTGTGACTGTAGTTTCTTCACAGCTGAAATACACATGTCTGATGTCAATCATCTGGTAAACCTGTTGCTCAATCATGCCTCTGTGTTGTCGGTCGGGAACAGCTGTTGATACGAGAAGTAGTGATTTGCTGTTTTACATGGCGGGAGCCTAACGACAGTTATTGTAACACTCGCTAGTTCCTGTCATGGGCCAGCACGCCTCTGTCGGACACTTACTGAAGAAAGGGTGAGTGACAAAGTTGTATTCTCCCGACAGAGAACGGGATCATATTTATTTGAATCATTGCCATATATGTGCAGAACAAGTTACATATTATATGGTGTCAGTTAAAGGTGGGGTAGGTAAGTTTGAGAAACCGGCTCGAGATACACTTTTTGTTATATTCCATGGAATGCTCTTAACATCCCGATAGCAATGAATATCTTAAGTGCTTTGACAAAAAATCCATAAAAAAATCCGGCTAAAATAACTGGATGGCCTACCTGCCTGTCAGCCTTCCATCTGTGCACAAACTTATCTCGTCCCCTCATTGGTCATGTGCGCGTTCGTGTGTGTTGGAGGAGGGGCTCTGTCAGGAAGTGGCAGATTTTCTCCGGCTGTGTATTTTCAAATTCTAGCGATCTCGAGCTGGTTTCTCCAAAATTACCTACCCCACCTCTAAATGTATAATCTACAATAAAATATCGATAAAATGTCTTTAACGATGTCTAAAGTTACTGATAAGTCACGTGTTTCCTGCTTGGGGCGCAGAAATCTTTGGCCATTGACTCTTGTTATAAGTGGTGCATGCGCAGTCCGCACCTCTTCAATGCAACAGATAGGAGCAGCTCGGGGCGCACCCAACTGCGCCCAAAGCAGCTGTTGACACCGCCAACAACTAGGGGGCAGCAGGAGCACCAGAGTGAGTGATTTACGTTTGAATGAGAGAGAGTTAGACGGAGACGGAGTGTAAACAAAACTAGATAGCGAATATGGAGAAGGAAAATGATGTTTCATCACTTAAAGAAACACCCTTTGAGAGGACACTGGAGGGAAAGCTAAAAGTAAAAGAGCTCGGACCTGATCAGCCTGACATAGGCAGGAGTTAAGGACAGAGGAAGGCAGTATACCTGCTCTTTTTCAAGGAGCTGGTTTGGCAAGAAGGCTGGGCTAACTACCTGTAGCAACACCAGTGCTATATTTTGCTTCCCCTGCCTCCCTTTTCAAACGTCAGGATCAGACCAGTCTATGGACCAGACCCAGCATGGATCCAGACAGATGTGAGTGACTTAAAGCACATATCAGAAAAAACTAAAAAGCATGAACAAACTAGAGTCCACATGGATAATGCTATGCGACTAGCCATGTTTAGGAAAGTAAACACTGCTGTCCCATAAGTGCTACAGGATAGGGATCTGTAACCATAATAAGGAGGTTGACAAAAGCAGGCACTAAAATAATAGACTGTATCAAGCAGAGGTGTGGACTCGAGTCAGACTTGAGTCACCAATTTGATGACTTTGGACAAAATCACAAAACACTTGCGACTCGACTTGGACTTGAACAGCAATGACTCGGGACTTGACTTGGACTTGAGCCTTCTGACTTGAGGTGACTTGATACTTTAATTCAGGGGTCTCCACTCCAACACGTTGATCGCGAGCTGCCGGTAGAAAAGCAG